CAAAATATATCAAGCAATATAATCAACAAACAATATGTATCAAACAATATATCGACTGAAGCCTCGTAGAAAATAACCTTTACCTTTTATAAATTTCACTTAATAAATAAAAAAAAATATTAGCAAGCTGTTCACATTTTCATTGCACAATAACTACTTTCTCAAGTATTTTACAAAAATTTTTCTTTAAATTATAATTCAGAATTGCTACAAACAGTAACTCCTTATATATAAATACATCAAAAAATAAAGAAGTACTTATATAAAAATAAAAATATAAAAAAAATATTCAAATTTCGTAATAATATTTCTATTTGTCGTTCAAATTGAATTTTTCACCAAGATGAAGTAAATTTTACTGATATGCAATATGCTTTTACTATACTTAATATTACTTTTAGCATATTTCCCTTAAATAAAAAAAAAAAAAATCAGCAAGCTTCACACATTTCTAACTTACTAATTAAAATAACAACTTACAAATGCATTTAACCGATTTTCTTTAAAATTACAATTCAGAACTGTTACGAATACTCACTCGTCACAGGTAAATACATCAAAAAATAAATAAACGCTTTTGTATTTTCTATTATCTGATATAGCCCGAGTTCATGATTTAAAAACTTATTGACTAAATTTTTTTCCAGACTACGTGGATATTTTTACTTAAATGTGACACATTTAATCATCGCCTTAAATAAGATCTTGTTTCTGGCTATAATATCAATAAATAGGTACTGAATAAATTCATAATTTACAAAAAAAATTTTTAAAAAAATTTTACGAACTAATATATGTATTTTAAAAATACATAGTAATCTTCAGTCATTATGACTAAGTCAACAAATAAATTTCTACTTAAAAATAACTTAAACTTAAATCTCGCAGTATAAATAGCTAACCTTAACCCCGTATTTTTGCCTCATCTATAAATGAAAAAAATTTTTCCGGTTGGCTACTGTTTTCATATCGTTTGTCAGAAAATCAACATCACCACCATGTGCATAAACATCCCTTTACGATCCCTGATGCTAGCATACAAATATCTTCTATCTGCCAAAAAAGCCAGACATTTTCCCCCTTGCCATAACAAACAGGCGTTTGGACCGTTAGACCGTTTCATCTCTTCCGCCCACATACAAACACTACCCTTATTCATGCCTTAATGTAAATAGTTAAGGGTATTCTTTAGATTTCTACACTCGATAAAACTAATTTCTATAACAGAAAAATTTTTGAATGTATTAAAAAGATAGATTTCGTTTCATGTAGAAAAAGGAAAAATCTTTGCTTTTGCACAATTTCGAAATATTGGATAATAGTATTCTAAACGAATTTGTAACAGAATGTTTGCTTTAAAGAAATATTTGTTTGTACTAAATGAATGATTTAACCATTTCACGAAACTAGAAATACATCTTCAGTACAAACTTTGAATAGATTGGAAATATAGATTTTCGCTTCATGTAGAAAAATTAAAAATCTAAGACAATCTTGAAATATGAGATAATATTTTTCAAAACTAATTTGCAACCGAATATTTGATGTAAAAAATATTTATTCCAACTAAATGCATGTGTTTGTCATTTTTAGAAACTAAAAATCAGTACAAGTTTTGAAACTAGAAAACAGTACAATCGTCAATACAAGTTTTGAATAGATTTTAAAGATAGATTTCGTTTCAGGTAGAAAAATGAAAAATCTTAGATAATCTCGAAATATTAGATAATATTTTTAAAACAAACTTAGAACCAAAAAGTTCATAAAAAAAGGTTTATTTAATCTGAATGCATGTTTTTATCGTTTTCAGAAACTAGAAATATATCTTCAGTACAAGTTTTGAATAGATTGGAAAGATAGAGTTCGTTTAATGTAGAAAAATGAAAAAAACCTGTATTTGCACAACCTCGAAATATTGGATAATAGTTTTCTAAACTAATTTGTAACCAAATGTTTGATGTCAAAAAATATTTCTTTGCACTGAATGCATATTTTTACCATTTTAGGAAACTAGAAATATATCTTCAGTACAAACTTTGAATAGATTAGAAATATAGATTTCACTTTATGTAGGAAAATTAAAAATCTTAGATAATCTTGAAGTATGAGATAATATTTTTCAAATATTGTAAAATATTTATTTCAACTAAATGTATGTTTTTATCATTTTTAGAAACTAGAAATATATCTTCAGTACAAGTTTTGAATAGATTGGAAAGATAGATTTCATTTCTGATAGAAAAATGAAAAATCTTACATAATCTCGAAATATTAGATAATATTTTTCAAAGCAAATTCGGAACCAAATGGTTCATAAGAAAGGTCTATTTGATCTGAATGCATGTTTTTATCATTTTAAGAAACTAGAAATATATCTTCAGTTCAAACTTTGAATAGATTAGAAATATAGATTTCGTTTCCGGTAGGTAAACGAATAATCTTACACTATCTGGAAATATTAGATAATGCATTTCAAAACGAATTTGGAACCAAATATTTGACGTAAAAAACAAACGTTAATTTGAAATATTAATATATTTTATGAAAATAGAAATATATATTTGGTACAAGTTATTAATAAAGTGCAAAGATAGACTTCATTTTGGAATTTAATCAAAAACCTGCAATTGCTTTAAATTGTTAATATGATTCAAGGAAAATAATTAATTTTAAATCGAATTACTACTTCCAATTTTGTTGTTTTTATAATGTCAAGTATTTTATTTAAATTATTTTGTCCCATTTTAAAGAAACGTGTACAGTAAAAAATTTCCTGACTAAATTACTGTGTAAAGTATCAGCACGTTGGAAGCATCATCCGTAAATTCCATTTTGCCGTAAAGTCCATTTTTACAGTCAAATATTATTCCACAAATTTCATAGTAATATATATTTAATTAGAGTGATTCGGTGATTTTACGATAATTATTACTGTAAAAATTGCTGTATATCAGATTTTTTATGGAAAAAATATACCAGCCCTCTGAGTGTCTGTACTTCTTGATATAATATTTTAGTGTACTTCGAAAAATCCTATTGAAAATAAAAATTTGTGAAACTGTGTATAATTCTCAATGTTTAAAAAAGAATTATATCAAAAACATGTAGAGATATTATATTAGAAATCATATATACTTCGTTGTTATCGTAGATATTATAATGCAAGTTTGGAGCAAATTAAAATGAACTAAAACTACTATTGTCAAAAGCAGCTCTAAAGTAAATTAATGGATCAGTTCCTGAAACGAGTGTTTGGAGCCCGCTCCAAACTGTTATAACGATACCGTTCGAAAACAAGCTGAAAAACTTAATTGGTATTCATATTAAGAGAAGAGGGGAAATATTCTTTCATTGTAGTTTTGTTATAATTAAACGATTTTGTGCAGAATACAAGTGTTTTGAAAACAAACTTTTCATTTTGATTCAGAATGATCCTCAACGCTGCACCGATAATATTTTTTGTCACTTTATCATCAAAATAAAAATTCATATAAAATATACATTGAGAAAGTGAGAATTTGATTAGTGCATTAAGTAGAAGTTCGTAAAATTCTTGAATTGCATTTTCTTGTTCAAGATTTTAGTTTTTTCCTGCTTTTTTTTAAAATTTTCTGAAAGATATATTTAAAGTATGTAAAAAAATATTGTTATATAAAGAATATTGACGGCAAGTATAAATTATGAATTGCATCAATCGAAATTCAACCATTAAGCAATTAACAACCATTAAACGATTAATAACTGTTAAACAATTAACAACTGTTAAACGAGTAACAACCGCTATGAGGCCTCGTTCTCTTTGATTCTAAGTTAAATTTTTAATTTGTGTTTCCTCTATATATTTTTGTACTTAATAAACTTTGGATGTATTATTAGACAACACAATACTTTTTAAAAAAGTTAAAAAATAAAGGAGCCACTTTATTAGTTTGGGAGAATTAGAACTTGATAAATTTTAGAACTTCAATGAATTTTTCCTTACAACTTTAATTCAATAAACTAAATAGATTTCTGGTTTTGAGTAAGGCATTTAAAGTTACATGCTTCTCAGCTTTTAGATGTTTAAAAGTCTAATCTTATTGCTGATCTAAATGGATGAAAAGTGATCCTAATGTCGTTAAAAAATTTCCTTAAAGTTTTTCTTTAAAGTCTTAAAATTGCATAAAAATAAAAATACTTAATTAAAATTTGAAAATCAGCAAATGTTTATTTAAATATCCTTCAAGAACTGATGATCACAGAATTGTACAGGCATAATTTTTTGAGAAAAAATTGTTAGAGAATCTAAAATACTGCACGCTTCATAACTCAAATTGCGGTTGGGTGATGGCCCTTCCTCACAAAAAAGAAAAGAGTTTTTGAGGTTTGTTGGAGGTTGTTTTAAGGCGTTATGGTAGATCTGAGGTGTATTTGAAGTTGAAACAACCTTAAAAAATCAACATCAAGAGGATTGCAATCAAAGTGCATGAAGTTGACTCACATGAAGTGCATTCACATTTGAAGTTATTTTGAGGTTGACAGAGATCTACCTTATTAGAGCAATCTGCTTAAAAAAGTTGAGGTTGAGGTGTACATGTAATTTTTTCTGCACTTCAAGCAAATAAAAATATTTGAGGTGTGTATAATTTCACCCGATTTCAACTGAAAGTATTGATGATGTATGAGGTTGATTTTATGTAGTGTAAATGAGGTTGAAATTGAAGTTTACTAATAAGGCTATTTTTGGTGCAAAACATAACCTCATTTCTACCTCAGGTGTAGTTTTTTACACTTATCACTTCAAAAGAACCTCAAAAACACCTTAATTTTTGTAAGGGTATACTTAAATAGAGAAAATATCTATCATCAGTTTATTTTTGAAAATTAAATAAAGAGAATTAAAAGCATATTAAGAATTTTTCTCTCCTTTGGAGTCGCCAACAATTATACAAATTACAACGATACAAATTATTACGAAAATTTATTTGAAATTAAAGAATTATTAAAACCAATAAACTTACGTGTTTTACATGGTGAGTATTCCTGATAGTGCTGGAAGGAACTTCTTACAACCCAACATGTACCAACTGGATCATGTCTTTTTAAATTACTTGAAAAATAAACATATCGGGGAGCACATGCCTAAAATAGTTATACAGATTAGATAAAAATGTTAAGCGTAAATTATAAAGCAATAATATACATTCATTTCTGATGGATAGAATATTTTTTGGTAAAATTACCGTAGAGTATGGTTATGACATTTCTAGTAAAAAAAATCATGATTTTGTTAAAAAAAAAAAAAAAAAAAAANAAAAAAAAAAAAAAAAAAAAAAAAAAAAAAAAAAAAAAAAAAAAAAAAAAAACTCCAAGATACACGATATTTAAATCATTCATTTGGTAATTTTTTCGTTCATATCGTGACGGTTTACCGGAAATTCTGGTTTTCAAAGTTATAGTTCTTATTTTGACACATTTAAAAAAAAAATACAGAACTGAATAATAAATTTTACCGAATAGATGGTTTGTATCCCTTGCTCTAAGGTATCCATACCCATAAGGTACCCATGACCATACAGTGCGATAAGTTTACCAGAATTCTTTGCTCCGTGCAGTAATGGCCTTATGCTTATTTCAAGATTTATTGGTATGATCAAAAAAGCATTGAAATTTGCATTATGCGTCTTGAAACATATGTATCAGGGACAGCTTGAATCCACATGGGTCAAGTGGAAGCAGAGTATTTTATAATTTATCCAAGAAAGTTTTGAATAAAGTATTATTTTTTATTTGATTAATGTAGTTATCAGAAAAATGAAATAAAAATATTAACTTTTAATAATAAGTGAACAAAAAATGGAGCATTTGAACAAATGGATTCTTGAACAAGGAACGGAACAAAAAAGTTAACTCGTGAGTTGCGATTTTTAGCAAAGCATTTTGCCAAACGCTTAGGGCCAAATGTGGTCACTTTAAATGAAAATTGATGCATAGTAATTTTCGAGTGAATTAGAATTTTAGTGAATTTGCTATGTCTTAAAAAGCTCTAAAGTTTTGTATTATATGTCTAAATCCTTTTGAGTATTTGACTTTCTGCTGTAACCACTTTAAATAACATGAGTTGAATGGAACCAGGACACTTTTAATTGGCTGATGTAATTGTGACTTTTAAGGTCTATTAAAATTAAAAATCGCAATATATAATTCAATTATTTATATTTCAAACATGAAAAGCATATACATTGATTACTTTTAGTTTAATAATACTAAATTAACTATCTATAAATATTTGGGAATTACTATAGAAATTATTATTAGCTTTTACTCACGAATAAGTATTGAGTGAGTTGTAATTAACTAATAAAGGAATTTTGCCTAAAACTAAGGAATAATTATAGAAATGGATTAACATAAGTATTATTTTGTTTAATTGCGAATGAAGACAGCAATAAAAAAGATAAATTGCGTGCAGCAATAAAGCGATTTAAAAATTTATAAAGCGATTTCAAAATCTATAAAACGATTTAAAAGTCTATTAAAAGTGTTAAAATTTAATTCCATAGTACTTGAAGTATTCGGTTAAACTAAGAAAAACTTCAATTTGTCCTCAAAAATCATCCTCATCTTCTATTGTTGAGGCACGTCAAGTGTTTTTTCTTTCTTTAACGAAGCGGTTGTTTTGTTGTGTTTGACAAAATCCAAGATGTTACTTTTATCAATACGATCTACGTTTTCCAGACACTTTCTTTCCCAGACACTATAGAGGTTTTGAATTTTAGAGATTCTCTTTGTTATCAGTATATCTTATAGGACAATGGAATGTCTTTCGGAGCGATGGGAAGAAAATTATTTTTGTCTGGAAACTGTGGACAGCAAAATATTCTTTTAAAAAATTATAATGCTTTAGTATTTTAAGGAATAGTTATTTTTATAATTGGGCTCACATTTTAATGTTTTTTATTAAAATACGATCAGATTTCAGATTTCAAATAATGTCTTCAAATTAATTTATCAGTTATAGAATCAGGAAAGAAAGTCAGAAAAACGCCTTTGTCCGAAAACAATTGTCAACAGAATATTCTTAAAAATAATGATGTTTTTAAATTTTATTGATTATTTATAGTAATTATTTATAAAAATGAGTAACTCAGCACTTATAAGCTTTAATAAATTTCGTGCATATTTTAAAAAATAGCTTGAGGAATTGTTATGATCTTATATAATACGACATTGCTTTACAAAGAGATAGACAAAAAATTGTTCTTGTCTAGAAATTATGACTAGTTTAAAGTTTTTGAAAATTATGATTTGTTATTCTAGTGTTTAAATATCGTATTAAATTATTAATCATGTTCACATTTAAAAGGTCAAATTTTGTAGTCTGAGTAACGAAAAATTGGCGTAATGTCACTGTTAGTAGCGTAGATTTATTGCTACTTGCCTTTTAAGCATTTAAATTTTAAACTTTATTATTAAATACAACGCTTTATTATGAAATGAAAATTGTGACAAAGTGTAATTGGGGTCAGATGTGGTTTATTGTTATTATACGACGGTATTCTAAACTATTTAACAACTATTTCCACTTATGGCACTCCAAGTGATTAAAGCTTTATTTTAGCTTATTACTATATCTTTCTTTAAAGTTTTCAGCTGGAACTATTTTCAAATAAATTATCCTATAAAAGTTATTGAGAAATACAGTATTTAAGACAAAAGTAAACTAATTGAATTCAAAAAAATTAAGGAATTCTTTTTTTTGAAAAAATTATAAAAATTTTTTTTAAAAGTTAAGCTTCAATCTCGCCCATCTGCTACCTCACTACAGCCCCATGGTATAGTATGAAGCAAGCGCCAACTGATTACTCGGAGAGACAGGGTTCGAATCCCGGAATGGTATGCTGCAGCTATGAAATATAGAAGGCTTTATTCCTTTCTTTTTTTCATAATATGGTAATTTAAAAAAATGATTTAAATGCTTCATCAATTATTTCCTTTCATAAAGAAAGTGGTGGCACACTATGAAAAATTCTTTCTTGTCTCCTCTGCATATACTAAAAGGCCGATATTTTACTTTTATATTAACTTACAATTTTTAAACTAGGCCTCATTTATTATTACAATATAGCAAAACACAAGGCTAAGCCGCAACACTAAAGAGATATTAATTACGGCACAATGGGGCCAAATTGCAATGCCAATATTTCCTTTCTAATAGAAAAATATAGCACATATCTTAACATTTATTTTTCTAAAATTTCTTTTCTAAACTTATGCATTTTATCAGCATTTCTCTTTGCTATTGATTCCACCAAAAAATAATGAGCTGTTTGGAAAAAATACTCCTTAAAAGTTTAAATCAAAATGAAGCAAGTAATAGTCTTTTTGAATATTGAGATTTGTGACAATTACTCCATTTTTAGCGGACGGAAAAGAGAATTTAAAATGGTTCAGACGCATTGATATCGTTCATAAGTTTGATAGATATATTCATATAAATTTTAACCAAGTTATTTTTATATAAATAAAAATTTTTTCACGGGAAAATTAGTTCTACAGTATTAAAAAAATATTTACCACAATGAATCCATTTTCTCCCGAACTTTGAACTGTTGCTCCAAACCACTGATGAGATTTGTTATCTGTTCTTTCTTTTTGACCTCTGAGAGTAATTTGACCTGGACCTAAAATGAGAAGACGATTCATATAATGAGCAGAGTAGAAAAAAAGCGTTACTTAAAATTGAACACTCCTTTATTTTAAAAATTCTATTTTAGTTCTTAATGAGGAATGAGGAGTGGGATAAGGAACTAGGGAGAAAAAGTTCGAATATGTTTGATAAAAACAGTAAAAAAATTTTTTACTTCTTAAAATTGAAAAATTTAATACAGTAAGATACTCTATAAAAACTTCCGGATCAAATTATGGTAAAAAATACTCAGGGTGCTGATATTTTTTATCGGAAAATCCATTTCTACCGAAACATGTTACGAAACAAAAAAGCTGATATAGCGTAATTTTTACAGAAATAGCTTCTGAAAAATCACTGAATCACTTTAATTAATTAAATATTAGTGTGAAAATTACGGTATAACATTTTACGGTAAAAATGGATTTTTGTAAAAATGGACGGTAAAATAGATTTTAGAGATGGTACGACGGTCTAAAGTGCCGGTCTTTTATACGGTAATCTGATACGGAATTTTTTACAGTGTACCTTGCATTGAAAAAAACTTGCTCTTTAAAATAACAAATCTAATTTCTAAAGTTCAAATTATTAAAAGTAAAGCACTCCTTCAAACAGTCATATTAAAGACCAAGGGGTCATGGATGTTAAGGCTTCACAATGTGGTCAGTATAGCGCACGGGCCAACTTTTTCTCCTCTTCCAAACAAGCTGGTACCCATCGATTTTAAGCTGGATGGGCTGCCACTAGGTATCTAGGTAGGCTGCCACAAGCTGCCACTAGGTATCAAGCCCTATTGTTTTACAAAGACAGTTTAATGATTGAGTCGCAATTCTTATTTCCATTGATAAAAAAAATAATTTTGAAGAAAAATTTATAATAAAAATGTTTTAATACTTTAGAAAAATTTATTGGTCAAACGCTGAACCATAATATGGATACCCTGAACCATATTATTCTTTTATCCTTGAATCCATAATGAAGTAATTATTCATTTACATGAAATAAAAAAACACCTATTTTGCTTTAGATTAGAATTCGAAAAATGTCAATTCGATATCTTTTGAGTATTCCAAAGATAAAATTTTTTTCCCACGACATTTGGACTTGATTATGAATAAGAAAAAGAACAGAGCAAACGAAAAATTGAAAAACAAATTGTAATGAGGGAAAAAATTGTAGCCGATGGACTGTCAATCTGAATCTACCTTTTTCAAGAAAGACGTATAAGATGATTAAAAATACATCTCCATGCACAAAAAAGAAGAGTAACACAAGTGTTTTTTCAAGTTTCACTGAATCAATTTTTGTTTTCTATTTTGTCATTAACTTCTTTTTGGTTCTAAAAGGTTTCTAAGTTTTCATACTCTAAGTGTCCTCCCGATGAAAAGCGTCGTAATTTAAACGAACGAAAGACGTTGACCTTTCTTATAAAGAAAAAGTAATTTTCCGTTACAAGTCTTCGTTTGATTTAAATTTCTTAGGTTTATTAGTTTTATACAGATTCAAATATTTAGAAAAATCATAATCAATAAAAATCATAATGTGATCAAAGAAACAAAAATTACGGATCAAATTGTAGTATAGAGTGCCGCCATTTTGGGATGCATTATGCGTAAAATTCATCTTTACTGTAAAATATTACATTATGATTTTTACAGTAATTTTTACTTAATTAGAGTGATTCAGTGATTTCACGGTAGTTTTATTTGTTGAAATTACAGCATATCAGATTTTTTGCTCTGTAACATGTTATGGTAATAATGGAATTTTTCGGAAAAAAAATGGCGGAAAAAAAAGCGTAAAATATTATACCGCAATTTTTCAGTAATATTTATTTAATTATAGTGACTCAGTGATTTTATGGTAATTATTGCTGTAAAAAACGGTATCTCAGTCTTTTTGTTCAGTAACATGTTCCGGTTAAAATGGATAAAAGGGCACCGGCAAATCGAGTGCCAGTACTTTTCACCGTAATTTGATTTGAATTTTTTTACATTGTAGATTTTTTAAATTTTTTTCATTATTTGTATAAAGGCTTCATAATAGTTTACCAGAGTCATCAAATGGTATCCTTTGGCAAACTGCTGGTTGATTTATTGTGCATCTGTAAACAGCTCCTCCTTCTGTGACGTTTGGTTGTCTTGTTTGTGCTTTTGGTGCCCCTATTAGTAACCTAGAATATTTAGTAATTTAATAAATTTAATATCTCATAACTAAATAAATCAATATGTCCAGAAAGTATCAAATGAATTTAATACATAACTTTGAAGATGATATTAAAAACGTAGCAATTATTTGCAATTTTAAAATTATTAATATTCACGTGTGAATTGCATTTCTAGAAAATTATAAATAAAATATGTTGTAAGTAAAATTGTCTGTGAATTTTAGTCTTATAATAGCAAGTCATAATAATTTCGCAAGGTAGATTTATAATAGATTTTAATTTAATCCACCGTAGAAAGTAAATCTGGTAAAATTACCGTAATGGTAATGGCAATTCTGGTAAAAAAATCCAGTTAATAAAATTAAAATATACTGTACTTAAACCATTCATTTGGTAATTTTTCCGTTTATATTGTAGGGATTTAATTTTCGACTATGTCAACCTTCATCTATCAAAAGGTACCTCAAGGTAGGATCAAGTTAATATGTGTTATATACTAGTAAATTGGTATTTAATATTTATAGTGGTAGTTACGCCACATCACTCCCCTTCCAGAATTTTATCTGTGATAGAATTCGATGAACGGATAACACTAATTGATTTCATGCTGTTTATTTATTAATATCAAATTTGTTCAATATATTTTTCTTCATTTTATTTATAGCATTTCGCAAATTTTTTTTTGTTTATAGCATTTCGCTCAGTAATTCTTTTTTTTCTTCTTCTTTATAGCATTTTGCTCATTTTATATATTTTTTTTAATATTGTTTGTTGACCTGGATTACTTTGTTTACTTCACCGGATTTTTTTTTCTTTGAGCAGTAATTCAGATTTTCACAATTATAGTTCGTATTACCACACCTTTACTCACGATAATTATCAAATATATGTTAATTATCGATAGAGATGAATATAGAATACAGCATTGTATCGATCATTAGGATAACGATAATTATCAACGACGATGTTATAGTGATTGTTGATCAATTTCTACTGGGTAACAGAAATATTGGCAATGTAATAAATGACCAACAATAATGTCAATTAATTATATTAGGAAAATATTGCAATATAAATTAACATTTACAGATTACTTGGTAAAGATGGTAAAATTTGGTAATTTCATCATGATACCTTAGGGTACGGCATAAAAAAACATTTATTCAGTTAAATTTACATTTCAGCTTTGCATTTTTTACTAAATGTGTTCTAATAAGAATTATAATTTTTTAAAACCGAATTTTCTGTAAACTTTTACCACATAAACGGAAAAATTACCATATGAATCTTTTAAATACCGTAAATAGTGGTTTTATTAACCAGAATTATTTTTTTTAAAACCAGTAATCTCATTATCATACAGTACGGATTTACCAGAATTTTTTTCTCCATGTGTGCATTAAAAGCATGAAATCGAAATAAATTTATGGATTAATTTCAAATAAAACTAATGTATTTTAAAGCGCAACTTCTTATTTTTTTATTACTGTTTATGACACAAATTGTTAATGTATTTTATAACACAATTTGTCATTATTATACAGAACGGTATTTTTACCTGAGTTTCTTTCTCCGTGATATAATGTACCTATGAAAGTTCGAGATAATATTGTGTTTGTGCGCTTTATGAAAATTCTAAAATATTTAATTAAAAATATTTCGTCTCGACACACATAAATTTCAATTGTTTGCTTTTTACAATGTGGTGTTTATGTATACACACCAAAAAACTCTATCGTACAGCTGCCAATTCAGGTGCCCATAAATCTTTCCTAGTTCTTGCAGTTTAAATGAAAAACGGGGATTGGATATTTACTTTAGGCAACTGCGTTTTAAAACTGTCTTATTCGAGATTCTATCCCTGTAAATCTATTCCTCGCTTCATAGTCATTATCCTCTTCTTTAACTTCACTCTTAGATTCTCGGGAGATAAAAAGGCTTCGTTTACGATATATATCATTCAAGCAATTCCCTAAACATGATTTTTTTTTTAGTTGATATGATATCTTTTTTTTACTTATTTGTTAATATTTTCGTGAGTTTTTCTTTGAAGTTTTTTTTAGTAATGACAGATTTCTTTTTCCTCTTTAAATCTTTAATAAGAAAAATAAGAAAGAAATAAATAAGAAAGTAATATAGATTCCTGTTTTAACAAAGTCCGTTTTTAGCTACATGAAAGAATTTAGAACATGTTAAAGCGTGCTGTTGTTCAAACTTTTCGGAATCCTAATATGAAATTAATTTGAAATTATTATTGTCCTTCATAAATTTGTTTACACGATACTCTGGAAGAACTTGATCATGCAGAAAAAAAGTTTCAGTAAAATTATCATATTGTATGTTAATGACATAGTTAATAAAAAATACCCATTAAATTCAGGTTAATAAAAGCAAAATATACGGTATTTAATCCATTCATTCTTTAATTTTTCCATGCATATGGTAACGGTTTACCAGAAATTCTGGTTTTAAAAATTATAGTTCTTGTTACCTTACATTTAGCAGAAAAATTACCGCTATTTTTGGTGTTTTCGTAGAGCCCGAATCATAGCAAATTTTGCCATATTCTTGGATCCTTTAATGTTAATTTTACTTTTTGCGTATTTTGCCATGTCTCGAGAATTTTCAAGGAAAATTGAAAAAATTTTGCCCACCCTTATAAAATTCTTTAATCCAAATTTATGCAAAAAATTTTTTTAGCATATATTTACACATTACATATGCATATTATTTTATTTAATAATAGGTAAAACAATTTTGAATTGTAAGGTATATAATTTTTTACATAATTTTAAAGTATGCAATTTTACATGACAAAATATAAAATTTTTTCGAATTCGGTTATTCGGAATTTTTTTAATTTTCCTGAGAAATTGAATTTAAAATATACGACTTCTTTAAAATTCTATTTAGCATATATTTACACATTACATATGCATATTATTTTATTTAATAATAGGTAAAACAATTTTGAATTGTATGGTATATAATTTTTTACATAATTTTAAAGTATGCAATTTTACATAACAAAAATATAAAAAATTTTCGAATTCGGTTATTCGGAATTTTTTTAATTTTCCTGAGAAATTGAATTTAAAATATACGACTTCTTTAAAATTCTATATCTCAGAAATTACTCAACAAATTTCTCTCAAATATTTGCAAAACTATGGGGATCATATTTCCCAGATTGTGACTACCCCCTATACTTTAGGGTTCAGAAAGCCGAATCCCTCGAAAGAAAAAGTATGTTTATTCAGATGAAGTACATTTTTTTGTTTGATTATATAACTTAAAATATCGTTTGCACTAATTAATTAACAAATTTGAGGTCACCTCTTCGAACCATTAAGATTCTTAGAACGACTCTTAGAACGTGAAGAACCAATCATTAGTGTAAAAGTTATTCAGGGTGGACATTTTTTTGCTTTGCGCACTGCGCATAGAATAGAATTTTTTTTATGATAACTGTGCGAAATAAAAATGTTTAAAATGTCATATTACGCTGAGTAAAAAAATGGTCAAAACTATCGGAATGTGGTAAAATTTAGCATGTTTCTGGCTTATGGGGATACAAAGAACCACACTAACTTTTGATTCATCTTAAGGGATTTGGTAATGATTTTGTTAAGAATTAAAAATAAAATGTAGTTTTACAGTATGTGATGAAATGTGGTAAGTTTATTAGGATACTTTAGAGCGTAACATTAAACCATTTATTCGGTTAAATTTACTAATCAATTTTGTATTTGTTTTTAAATGTGCGGTAATAAGTGTTATAATTTAATGTAACCAGAATTTCTGATAAAGCGTATTATTGATCGGAAAAATTACGAAATGAATGGCTTAAATATTGTGTATTTTGATTTTATTAGCCAAAATTATGCTGTTTTATTAAAAGAACAAAAAAGAACAGAAATACCATTATATAGTACCATTATATAGTACAGTATAGTATAGTAATTTTACAACTGGATTTATTTCCGTGTATGCATTCAATATTTAAAGAGTCTTTTAGTGATTGATTACTGGGTGAAAAAAAGGCTTAGAATGTAATATTAAATCTAAAAGATATTTGAAATAGTTGTATGTTGAATCTATGCGAAGAATGTAAGCAATGAAACAATGTTGCAAAATCTATTTCAATATGGCATTCTACTTTTGCTAACAACAATTCAATTAAAATTTTGAATCTGAATTTTAGTATATGCTATTACATATAAATTTTGCTAATTATTCAGAATTCTCTATTGATAAAAAAAAACTTCAAAGTTTTGTATTCTTCTTTGCATAAAGCTCATAGTTATTTTATAAAAATAATGAAAGTGAAATTTGCTTTTATTCTTGAACTTTTATTCTTTATGATTTCAGAGCCTCAAAAAGCGAAATTTTGGTATAAATTCATTTGATTAATACTATTATAGCATTTTTCTGACGAAACTTTTAAGTGCATATCAAAATATTATCCCAATAATTTTTGAAATACTTTTCTTTTTATTTTATCTTATCCAGAATAAGCATTTTTAAGAATTAAGTCAAAACTATTTCAAATGCAAATTCTTTTCTTTGTAGTTCCGAAAATGTTAATTTTAAGATGTTTCATCAGATATGAAGTACTTCACTTGTTGAATGTATAAAACATTAAAAACTAGAATGTTATAGAAATATTGTTTTTAATTAGTATTTTTGGCTTAAAATGCATTATTTTATTAAATTATTTTCCATTATTTCCCCCCCCCGATATTAATTGTTCCTATATAACATAAATATTGCAACTAAACATAATAATTGTAACATTTCTTTATAAACATCATCGGCACAATGCTAAAACCACCTGGCAGTTAACAGATTTGAGGTAATGTCAATAATATATAATTTTACAATAATCTAAATCACTATTAAAAATGAGATTTTTTATAAAGGCTAAAATAAGTGCTATATTTATGTTATTGGAAAATTCATTCAGTTCGAATTCCATCGATATTTATAATATTAAAAGGAAAGAG